AGAACACAATCCATACACGCAATTAGGTACCGGCGATTTTACGAGCAAAACATCGGCTGTCAGCCGCGACCGCAGCGCAATGGGCAAACCAAAAAACTGACGGAGCATCGGACATTCGATAATCAATTCTATAACGCACGTAATAAAACACCACGACGAGTTGTTCAGTCGCGAAAATGACACATTCTTCTTTCCGCAATAAAACTAAAAACTTATGCAGATGCGAAAGGAGGCCCGTTCCGATGTCGGCTTTAGCCCGACAGATTAAGAATCCGTCGCACGCAAGGCGGCTGCACACGATAAGGCTGTCGCAGATGTAAAGGGGAGCTGACGTGCTCGTATAAAACACTGGATATGAGCACATAAAAATTCCCGGAGCGCCGTCATCGGGCCCTCTATCGCCATTACATTTGTCAACTGTCAAGTTGTAACGCAGTGGGCACAATTTAAATGATAATTATAACGCGCTCCGAGCGGCCGCGTTCGGTGACGGCGCGGCGGCCATTTTGTTTCTGCTCTGCCGCGTTCCTTCTTCCTTTTTTCGTATCCACCTCGAATGCGATTAATGATGTTTATACAAGCGCTTTCGGGTGTGTGGTTCGTGTCGGGGCAACACGTGGGACACGGCGCTGTTGTTCGACGCCACGGTTCTCGGTAGAACGGCGTAAACACGTCATGTTTACCGCACGCAGAGTCAATGCCGATCGATGACTAATAAAGAGTGGGCCTTGTGACTGGCACGTCCACCTATGAGGTTGCCGGCTCAGATGTGGATAAATATTTAAACCCATAACAAAAGAATGTCCCACATCTGCGTCTAGCATAAGGAGGCAAAGAGTTCATTTTTGCGTCACATTTTGTCTGACAGATTCTGGCTTTTGTAAAGGTCTACTACCGACAAAGCGCTATTTAATCTTCGGACTAAAAGCGACGGCCATCACATAAGATACATATCAGTGGTAGAGCTAAGCTACTGTGCCCATTCTTGCACACGTCACCTCACAGAAGACCAGCGTAAAGTGGAAGTATGACAAATACTTTCGCGTTTCGTCTGGTGAGTGAGGCGGCCGGAGCCCAATTTTCAAAAGGTTGTCAACGCATCTGCAACCCTCGGGTGTGGCAGATGTCCATGGGCGGCGGTATTCACTTAACATCAGGTGAACCGTCTGCTCGTTTGACAACTTTTCGCATAAAAAAAAAGAAAAAAAAAATTCTAGCACTAAGTGTTAAAGGTTAGGAACTTTTAAAAGTGCCTTGTTAAACTAGATTTGAGTAAGTTGTAAAGAACACTTAAACCTATCTTTTTAAGACAAATTAACGACATTGAATTGCAAAAACTCATAAAAGTCAAGTAAGCATTATAATTTTGTGAAATATTTTCTCTTTTTTTTTAATACTCATATTGTGAGGTTTTACGGATACCTCATGGGATGCGTTGCACAAAACTGATAACAAAACTAACAATAAGTATTCCCAGGAACGTGTACCGTCAAAAAAATTAACCGTCCTCCTAACAAGACACATAAAGGCGGCAAAACGCCTCTGTCTTAAAACCCCAATTCGATTAAGCCTTCTTTCGAAGCTGGCCATTTTCCGTTCGATACTCTTTTCACAATAAAAACTCGGAACGGCTGCGAAATTAATCGCGAAATTAATAAAACGGGTGTCGTTAAGTTGACATTGAACCTCCAGTTGCATGCTGTTCAGCGCCATATGGACGTTTAGTGGCGGACCGCTTTCAATAAATGATTTCGTCGCATCGCAAATTGCCTCGCCCGATTTGGCGAGCGTTAAGAGGGAGATATAAGAACCGTTAAGATTCCAGCCGACATGAGAGAGCGCATGGGCCGCATAAAAGCGACCGAGTGTAAATTAAAAAATATTGGGTGATATTAAAGTTTTTTTTTTTTTTAATTAAAAACAGCATGTAACTGGAATTAAACAAACGGTCTCTTTTAATGTGCACTGACCAAAATATAAGTAAAGGACTGAAATTAATTCCCCAGCAACAAATTTTTATTATTATGGTCCTATACTTATAATAAAATATAATTTAACATTCTTTTTTTATATATTTTATTCGTAACTAATATCCTTATCTGAGTTACTCGGGTTGATATATCGTTTGGTAACGATTTGAGTGTGGAACAAATTCGATATGGGGTAATTAAAACAACTTTTTACCTCAAGATAAGGTTGAAAGCTTTCATTAGAAACCTTTTGTATTTCTTCCCTGTATACGTAATAGTCTAGATTTCCTCATCTCCGACTTCTATACAACAAGATTTCTTCATGAGAAATGGTAAAGGAATCTCAATGGCTAGACTTGGCACGAACAACACCAAAGATAATGCATTGCTTTAGAGTCATAAAGTCATATTATCCACGAAATAGCGCTGACCATCAATGACGTACCTCACGAAAACCGCACGGTAATAAATCAAGATGGCATGGATAGTATTTTGCATTTTGTCAGGATGGATTTTTTCTATAGAATACAAATCATCATATTATTACTTTTACTGAAAAATTCCTTCGAAAAGTCCCCATATTGTTTTTTCCAAAAGATACAAAGGATGCAACAGTTCCCAGCAAATCAATGAATTCAGCCGATCAGAATGAAGAACTTCGTTACCGAGAAACGGAATCGAGCAACTCCGTGTTGGATGCGACTACATAGAAGAAGTTGATACGGGATGCCATATCCCAGGGACAAAACAGTATTTGATAATCTGGAGCTATCGAACCAGCGCTTTTATAATATTGTACGGGATGGGTCGGCAGGAAATCCCAAGACGCTCTGCTGAGCAAACAGTGTTTAAAACCTAATTAACCATAGCTTCTAAGTGACTGCGAAATTGATTTTCACTAGATCTGTATTCTGCTAGAACTTCAGAACTCAGAGCAGCGGCAGCTTAGTGTGCTTGTATACGTCTTGTGTCGTGTATTCTTTAAATTTTAAACTCACGTAGATTTGACAGTATTAGCCAGCCCCGTTTAGTAAAGAAGGCATAATAAACTTCACACTTCCGCTTATAGGCGTATCTTTAGAGCTTGAATGGAATCAGAGTCGGCGGAAATGTTACTCCTTGCGGAACACTTGATCGTTAAGAACAGGCGTGAGAGTGCAAAGCGAGGTATCATCACCGCTCGTTTGCCACCATCCCGGAAAAAATGAAAGAAATAGACGCTGGGCTCCAATTACCATTGGCTGCGGAACGGCCAAGACATATCAATTAAAATAGCGACACACCGGACGCGGTCCAGCCATGCCCGGAGCTCCAGGGCGCCGTGATCTACAAATACCAAGTGGATACGCCGCCAAAAGTGATGTACAAATTTCACCGAAGAGAAATACTTGAATAAATGTAATTCTCAAACACGTGTATCAACGTTTGTCTTCCGCTATAATTAAATATATTATTTTTACTCAAGTCCATATTACAAGGTAATAACGCACTTTTAATGTGCTTAAGTTTAACTATATTTAAATAACTATAAATAACTAGTGTTACAAGTGCAGATTATACGATAAGGCCAATATTTTATGTAAGGTATAAAAGTAATGATTAAAAATATACCACATCCATACCATCACGGGGATTCTCACATCGGGAACATCGCCAAACGTATGACCAGCGCGCCGTTTAAGGAGCATTCTGCATTTATAAACATTCCCGCCATAAAGCCTTTGGGGGCGTAATGGCTTGTAGTGAACGTGTTCATATGATAATCCCGCGCTACCGCCGCGTGCCTCGAATTCCGGCACAATGATATCGCCACGGCAACGGATGCTGGGCGACTCTCACATCTGCGTCCGAGTGTTTTCTAGCGACATTACTAACTGCTGAACTTTTTATGTATATGTGAAATTTAAAAAAAATTGTCCTTCTGACTGGTCCGTCATTCACAACGTTTGTACGGCTCGTGTTTAAGATTTTGTTGGCGTTAGATTTGTTCATTTTTCCTGGACCGTAAACGGCAAGGAGTAGGGAGAGCAGTAAACTCAATCATCAACTTTCAAAAGATTTTCGTTGTCGTATTTCCGATCTGTAAGTTTTAGCTAATTCTAGTGAATTCCCTTGCGAATGACAAAAATATTTTTAATATATATAAATTGCGCTTTCTATTTAAACTATTACAGAAAATTGTGTCTGCCATGTAGAAAAAGGTACGCGTGTAATTTGCAGGTCCAGTTAATTACAAGAGCTCGACGACCCGCGTGCGTCAAGCCATGCCGACTTCCATTTCCATACATTGTTATCGTTTCGCAATAATCACACATAAAAAGAAAACATATAAACGTACGTGCAGAGAGTGAAACGGCCAATCCCGTTAGATTTACGGCCGGTGCGACGTTTTAACGATAATTCGCCTTCGCGTGTATTTATGTGTATTTACGATCGTTTACGGGCACCGAGAAAGGCGGGCCGGGTTTAATTGTCGAATAAAATTGAATTTACCGGCGCTGATTTACGGACGCGGCGCGATGCGTCCGTCGTTTACGGCCGTTTATGATTTACGCGCGGCGGGAAATAGGACGGCGGCCATTGTGGCTCGATACATTTCTCTGTAAGTGTTGGTTCTCCAGCAGATATGAGGCTACCCCAATGCTGTGGTCGAGCTTGCTGCCCCTTGGATGGCTCACTCGGGAAACTACCAAGTACTAATTGAAATTGGATTGTTTCTACTCTCTTTACTTCTACTTTGTAGTACTAATTTAATTCGTTGTTTACGCTGTTACCACACTACACCGTGACGAATTTTTCGGATCAATGTCAATAACTGGAAAGCTGGGAAGCTGGTAGTCTGGGCTTACTGTAACAGGATCTCAAATACATCGAAAATCTGTCAGACGCTACTTAGAAGGTCAGACATCCATAAAGAATTCACCTTTTAAAAAAGAGGTGTATTAAAACTAGATTATCACAGTTGTTTAATTGAATGTTGACATAGTTATGTCTAACTTTGGCTTCATTGTTCGAAATTTCATTGTTCAAATGATGGACACCACTTCAGTCCCCATCGGCAGCGTCATACCGTTTGCCATCAACCTAACAAAGGCGCAAGCCGTTCGGACAAAAGTCGCCGGCGATGCGGTAAATTGTGTTTTATCAGTTAACTGCGACAGGCGCGACGTTTAAACGCGATCGTTAAGCGCAGGAAGTGCGCAATTAAACAGCGCGAAAAAATGACACAATGGAAACATCGAATAGTGGAGGTGCACGCTGGCAGCGGCGTTAATTCGATAAGAGGAGCGCATCCACGTGACGTGTGGAGCAGTGGATAACCTCAGGCCATCGTCTCGACGCTAACGAGTACAATCGGATGAAAGTTAAATTTGATGCCATCAGATAACAATTCTTCAATCAAAATCAATTATTCCGTTTCTTAATTTTTTTTTATTGTGAAAAGTTGCCAAACGAGCAGACGGGTCACCTGACGTTAAGTGAATACCGCCGCCCATGGACATCTGCTACACCCGAGGGTTACAGATGCGTTGACAATCTTTTGAAAATTGGGCTCCGGCTACCTCACTCACCACACTAAACGAGAAAGTATTTGTCATACTTCCACTTTACGCTGGTCTTCTGTGAGGTCGTGGTACTTACCCGGACGGGCCTGCCCATTCGTGCAACGGCCGAGGCTGCTGCGTGGCCCTACCACTTGTAAACCTAAAAATAAAAACCTCTTAATGAGGTTTCTTTAACGGTAACCCTTTTAAAAAGTTTTTCTTTAAAAAATTCTTAAACCTGTTAATAGGCAGGCTTTTCGCATTTGCCGGAAGTTTATTATAGAAGCGTATACACCGCCCCATGAACGAGTTACTTACTCTATGGAGTCTAGTAACTGGTCAATTTCGTTTCTTCAATATCGCCTTCATCCACGTTTAACTTATCGAAGTGTTGCGAGATATTGAAGAAACGAAATTAACTACATTTATATTTTGAACATAAGATCTTGTATCTTGTATTAACTGATGTTTTTGCTTTCAGTCCCGAGACTATTAAAGCTTCATCTGACACAGAACCGGTGGGCTAGCCAGAACCCACAGGTTTGGGTTGAACATAAGAGTCTCAAGTCTCGACTCTTTAGTAACGCGACTCAACACTAACGACAACAGGTCAATCGTATAAGTTTTATTTGGTTGACACGAGATTAGCATTTCTTCAATGTCATCTTCGTCCGCTTTTAACTTGAGTTCTTGGGTTAAAATATAGAAACGTGCTTCGATATTTTGCTATTTTCGGAATTGATAGAACTACTGTTTCAAAGTGACTCATGTCGAACGAAAGATTTAATGTACATGTTTTTCATTTTAGAATTGATTATTATTGAATCACGCGCCGGTTGCATCAGAAACCTACCCTTTCAGCGATGGAGAAACGTATAGATAGATACAAATACGCCAAATCAGAAATTACATACAATTACAAAATGCTATTTTGAAGTATGTTTACCGAACAAATTGACGCCTCAGTATGTGATGTTAGTTCTCGCTACATTCAATATTGGCACGGGGACGTATTCGTTGCAATATCGCTATCCGTTCTGCAAACATTGTTACCTTAGCTTTGTTAGTATTGGATTTAACTCCGGCTGCAATTTCCAATGGAAAAGCAGGTGTTCCCGCTTTATATTTATTTTCACTTTTCGAATAAAACAAATTACGTTTTCACAAAAACTATTACAGTATCGCAAATCCAATAGCTAAAAACAGAATAAAATGATCATTATATTCTATCCTATTAACATGATGATGACCATGTATTTTGGTTCCAAATGTGTTAAAAAAACCCGAAAAAAACTCCAAATACAGTCACATGTAACTATAACATCGCGTTAATACAAGTCCAATTTACTGTCATTTTTATTAAAAAAAAAAGTTGACTTTATTTGACTAACCTTATCGAAGGAACACAAAGAGCTTCAATTTAGCAGATTTCGTTAGAAATAACGACAATGCTCAAAAAGAAGAGATAAAAACTAAACGGAATACACCCACTGCAATTGTATTTGTTTTTGTTGCATTTTATGAATACGTAGTGAAATAAAAATATTCCTACACTTTTATTTATTTTGCTAAATATTGCAAGATAACAACAAAACTTTGGAACTTCATGTAAACTAATTTCCATATCTACACAGGTAAATTTCAGGAAACCTTTTATAACAAGCAAGCAACAACCTCAAAAATAAACTAGTTGACAAATCGATCGAGTTTAAACAGAAGTTATTGTTTAATTATAATCACATAGCTATTTGGCCGGGCGCTCACTTTTAATTCAATATACTCGAACAACTTGAGTACGATCCCCGGTGCCGGTACCAATGATATTGTTTGAATTGTTAATAGTGCTGAATTATGACGTACTCAACGGTAAAGGAAAAATTACTTTACTTTTAAGTATACTTTACAAAAGACCCCTTTGCCTGGCAGTGGGCTATACATAGCCTGTTACTTTACTTTTTTTTTACTTTAGTTTTAATCACCATAAAAAGTCGTCATAGCTACGTGTCCGGGCGCGCTCGTCTTTAATATACTCGAGCAACCCGAGTTCGGCCCCCGGTGCCGGCACCAATGAAATTGTTAATTTGAAGTGCTGACTTTTCACGTGCTCAGCGGTGAAGTAAAACAACGTGAGGAAACTTCCATTATCTTCAAACTAAAAAAATATTCTTCGAAGATATGTGATGTACGCAGTGGGGTCGCGTGGTGGACTATGCCCTGTTACCCTCTGTACAGAGGTCTTTGGGCAGCAGTGGGACATTTATAGGCTGTTACTTTAATCACCATAGCACGCTTCAAAATATGGGCGTTGGGAAGCGCAAAATACATCGTAAACTGATAGATCTAAGACCGTCCTCAATCACTAGCCTCGGCGTTTCAAACGACTTGCGACCCGTCAATGTCAGGGCGCAAACGTTATCCTATTAGAAGGACGTCGCGCAACAAATCACCCCTATTGTCCATTGATCCCGCAGCAGTGGGGAGGGGGGCGGGCTGTTGACAGCGGGTGGTTGATCCCGCCCGCGGATTGAATGCAAACTTAGAGCCAGCAAAGCATAACAAGCGTCTTGGCGGTGTGACCTAGGCTATCTTAATATGGAAACCGCATTTTTGTCACAACTTCTAGCATTGACATGACAAGCCCAATCTTCAAAAGGTTGTCAGCGCATCTGCAACACCTCGGGTGTAGCAGATGTCTATGGGCGAAGGTATTCACTTAACATCAGGTGAACCGTCTGCTCGCTTGGCAACTTTTAACAAAAAATATATAAATATTTGCCCCTAATTAGTTTGAAGGAGTACAGGGAAACTCACTCTTTCTAATCAGTAGACAATAACCAGTTCCTCTCTTCGATAAGATCTCTACATTTTTGTCATTGATTTTCATATAGTATAATCTGCATAATACAATCAATTGGAAAATTTAACTAAAGCATGTAAGTGGCGCGCAAACGTAAAATCAAAACACCATAAGTACGCAAGATTATTAGATATATGTGTTACATTATTATAAATCGTGCTAAAGTATATCTACTTTAAATGTTAATTATTACTCGTATCATAGCTCAATATACGAATAAATATACATAAAATATGTACGTCCAAATATTTATTTTGAACATATGTTCTTTTGCTAGTAGCTAGATAAAGGAAGGTTATTTTATCCTTTCTTTTTTTTTTGCTAAGGCTCATTTTTGAAAGTTGACAGCACGTGGCTTGTGCGTTACCATTAAAGTATTAACAATTCCACTTCACCTTGATCTTCTGTGAGGCTGTGACCCTATGAGGATTTATACAGTTAATTTATGCAGCGGGTACCACCACGTAGGTCTCATCATCAATTCAGCCTGTTAGAGTCCACTACTGAACGAAAGCCTCCCCCACAGACTGCCACGAAGCACGATCCTGACCATCCATTAACCAACTAATTTTAACTTTTTAAACCCTTTCCACCTAAGAAAGCTGTCTCCACGCTAATATACCTGCAGACGTATCGGCGGCTTGTTAACTTGCAGTAACAAGTGACGGCTGTCAACTGCAGTGTCGCAGACGTGCCACTGTACGGAATATAGACGTTCCATTGACGGATAGACAATGAGCCCCTAGAGGCGACGGCAATTAAGGAAATTGCTATAATGTCCTCTCTTACCTAGCAGGTCTTGCTGGTTTACCAACAAGCAACACGCCTGCAACCTGTATCGGTTATATTTAAGAATTCTGAAAAAAAAAAGAGAAAGTGCATACATTAATGTAACTACCATTTTCTTTAAATGATTTTATATTCTATTATTACTTGCCATGGCAGTTACTGATTGGCTTAATGATGAGCGATCAGTATGTTCGTTTAATATGCTGGAGTTCTTTAGACTCGCTTGCTGTGGATTCAACAGAAATGAATTTGCATTATGCTGATGAGGCAACATTTTCTTTCTGAACATCTACGGGATTTTCTCATTTATTTACTCATGTAAAAGGATGTGGTTTTCCAGCACCCTTTTATATTTATTAACTAAAAAGTTCCGTCTTATGCAAGGTTGTTTTGCATCGTGATGATGAGCGTATGTTATGTAGTAGGGCGTATGATAGGTAGTAGAGATAGGTGGTAGGGCCACGCAGCAGCCTCGGCTGTTGCACGAATGGATAGGCTCATTTGGATAAGTACCACGACCTCACAGAAGACCGGCGTAAAGTGGAAGTATAATACTTTCGCGTTTCGTCTGGTGAGTGAGGTGGCCGGAGCCCAATTTTCAAAAGCTTGTCAACGCATCTGAAACCCTCGGGTGTAGCAGATGTCCATGGGCGGCGGTATTCACTAAACATCAGGTGAACCGCCTGCTCGCTTGGCACCTTTACACATAAAAAAAAATAATGAGTGAGCTAAACGTGACCCAAGATTATAAAATCGGGGCACATTTGCAGCCCCACGGGTGATGTGTGTTTGTGCGGCAGTAGTCACTCAAAATTAATTTTACCAGCTGTTCTCAGTTATCTACCTCTAAACATTTTTCTTCTTTGTCCTGCTCGTTCTTTTATTAGGTTCTATTAGTATATAATGTACTATTGGTCCCAAAGACTGGCAGCATGAACAGAAAAGACAAATCTGGACCTAGCATGAGCCTACTACGTAATTGTCACCACTTTCTTACACTTGTCGGTTTCCGTTAGCGCCCCAATTAATTATACGGAACCTGACCGCACTAATTCAATCGTCGAGCGGTCGCCGCGCGATATTTTCGTCAGCCCGATCGTAAACTTGTCGTTGACGTCGCGCGCTCGTGTCGCCGACGTCGGTACAACGATAGACGCGCGCGTTGCGTGATTTATATGATTTTAGACGCTCACGCATTCCGGTACGTACATAAGTTCGGTGTCTTTGAAGTTAGGAATGATGAATGTCGTCAAGTGTGACGCTATGATATAAATTACAATTTTTTTTATAAGATTTCAAGTTATTGGTGGATTTTCAAAATGAAAAGTTACAATGGCGATTCTTCGTTTCTCTTATAATAAATGACAATAACAAACGATTGTAGTACAAGTCACCACGGCAAGTAATATCCGTTTATTTCCAGATCTGTTTTAGCTAGAGTAAAAATATAAATATATTATAACACCTACGAGAAGAAAGTACTTTCCTGGCCTTATTTAAATTACTCCTCACAAAAAAGTTCAGTATATTAAACCCTCAACTTTTTTTGTGAGCAGTAATTCCCTCAAATTTAAGTACATTAATGGTTTCATATCTAGTATTGTCTGAAGTTCCTCAAGGATCTCACTTAGCGCATATTTTCTTCGTATAAGACGTACCTACCCAAAGTTCGTGATTCATTGATGATTTAGAATATTTAAAGTTACAATAATTTCTAAGGTTTTTCTAACATCCAGGGCTATCGTTTACAAAACGCTATTAAATCAACAGAAGAGTTATTCCTGGATTGACAGTGAAAGAGAAAGACGTTATTTTAAACAGCCACTCGGCAAAGTAATGTTTTATGATAACCTAGTACGCAGTCATTAAATTTGTTTGTGTCGCATAAAATTCAGATTACACACCAGCACCCTCAAAATACATGGCGTGTATTACCATACTTTTCTCCAAGTTTATATATTCGTATCAGCAGAGGCTTATTATATTCAACAGACTTAGAAAAGGAGGAGGTTCTCAATTGTTATTTATTATATATTGTATTGTTTTTATGTTGTTAGCTCATAACTTTCGACTGGGTGAAACGATATTGATGATTTTGTGTTTATTTGAAAGCTGGTGCTTCCCACGTGGTCCCATATTAATTTCATTGGTATTGGATCTTGGGCTCGGGGGATATTTAGGGAACTCTCGAAAATCAAATATAAATTGATGACTCCGTGGCGCAGTCGCCGCGGTATCGGCTTCGGCGTCGGGGGTCGTGGGTTCGATTCCCACACGGGACAACTATTTGTGTGACCCACAGATAGTTGTTTCGCATCTGGGTGTTTGTCCGTGTAAAATTTATGTTTGTAAAACGTCCTTACATCACAGGATAATGTTATCCTAAAGTAAGGGCATTGTTTAAAAAAAAATTAATACAGAGCGAGATTTTTGAAGTCGGTTTTGTTTTTCATTAATGAAAATAAACTTGTGCTATAATAAGCTAGTGAAATCGTCGTAGATGACTAGATTTGGTTCTCCTGTATAAATTCTTTATATATATTAGTATATTTATTTATATATATTAGTATACCTAGTTTCCACTCGTTGAAAAAATCGATTTCAGTAATATAATTATTTAAATATCTTCATATTCATAGGCCAATACAAAGATTATGATCAAAATATAATATTTTCAATGACTAAATTCAAAGATTTAAATGAACATATAAATTATTGCGTTGCATACCAAGTTTCATTTGCATATGATATTTAAAATCTGATTTTTTTAATTCTATATGATTCTCCGTACAGACAGTCGTACTTACATTGTCTTTACTAGCCCTTAGGTTTATCGTCGAATTTGCGAATTGCCTACTCCATTAACAAATCAGTTAATACTAAGAAAGAGGTTTAATGCACGGGTTAGCTGTTACTAAATTTTATGTACACCCGTATTACCGGAGGACTTGCCATTGTAAAATGAGGCCGTGTAGGCCGCAATAGCAAATAACAGTAAATTATAAAGGCCATCTCATTAACACACATCATATAGACTTTTTGATTTTACGTAAATCTGTCCAGTGACCATGAGCGCTGGAAAGAGTTCGAAACGTCGGGAATTACAAATTCAAAACTAAAACGCGATAAAATCCGTAAATTAGTTTCATTTAAAAACACACATCATTGCTGTTCGATATAAGAAACATTCGAAATACTCTCCCAAGGACTAATTGGTGAAAAGTGTGTAAAGGCACTTTTCTGTAGAGAATAATTCAAATTTTTCGAGAGAACCGTGTTTCCCCGTAGCCCCTTCGTTACCGTCAAATCGGATTGACATCACACACGATGCATGCGGCGTAGCACGCCCAATATATCGAGCAACAGACGTCGTTAGCAATTCAGCGACAGCTCGACGGCGTTCCATAAAAAAGCAGCGACAACACGGCCGTCCTTCAGCACTCCCCTTTCCCTCGATCACACATCCACCTCTCGGATGAGATAATAACTAACATTAGGGGGGCGAAAACAACGGCATAAATCCGCTCGCAAATCGCCCGCGCGGATCTCCGTTAACACTTAGTCTCTTAGTAATCGTCGCGATGCCCGCTTTAGCGAATGACTGCCACAAATAACATTGATGCACGCTTACCGGGGCGCCGAAACTCGGGCAGCTCAATTCAAAAGCGAAGAGCGTGGCAAGATCTGTATTGGTGCTCCGCTGCGACGAGTTGAAGTAAGTCGTAGTGTATCATTGTTTAAGTTGGAATAATTGATACTGTTTAAACTAAGAAAGCGTAGTACATTTATACTTGCATTTTCGATAGATGTCGCCACTTGTACTTTACATCGCGCTTAAGTTGTGTTAACAAGAGCTTATATGTACCCAATACCCCAACA